CAAAAAAGCTCCGTGACTGTCATGTTTCTAGCTTGCCCGGCACACATCACCAAAGCTCTCTGACTTCCTGGCTGTCCCTCTCTGGCGAGGGGGGTTCCAGCCTGCTTTGCTCTACAGTGGGGGCAGCTCTCCTGTTCGCTCTGTGTTTGTTCCTGTCATCACCCATGAAGGGACAGCGGTGCCAGGCGCTGGCCATTAGCTCCTCCTGCGGCAGGACTCTCATAAAGAGCTGGCTGTCAGGGATTTTAATGGAAACCCTCAGGAAACCACAAATCTTTGCGCTTCCCTCCAGCATCCTCTCCCTCATTTCCATCACAATATCACTCCAGAGGGACCAGAGACCCAAGCTGGAGCTTGGGAGAGCAGATTGGTAGGACACCAGGGGTAGAAAAAGGTGAAATGGGGGAGGGGAACAGAGCTGGCACAGTTGGTCTTAGGGAAGCATCTGCTGGGTGGCCGGTTGATGATGGTCACCTGGGCTCCCAGGGCCTTGGAGAGGGGGAGGGGCAAGATAACCCAGGGCCACCTGGAGGAAAGAGAGAAGAGGATAGCAGAGGTTTCTGGAAGATCCGCAGATGGGCCACTGATTTCACCCTCCGGGATGAATTTAAGCACCATGTAGCAGGCTGCTTGGGACTAAGCCATGCCTTTGCCTCTAGCCTCCTGCCTGGGCACATCAGCAGGTGTAGGTAAAACCGGACAACCAATGGGTCCGGGCTGCCTGTCACTACTTGAGCCAATTCAGCAGAGACAGGGTTCAATCATAATGAGCGTTTGTTCCAATACTGCCGGCAGTGTGGGAGAGCAGCAGGCCACCCACAAACCTCTCTGCACCCCCATAAGCCAGCTGCTTACAGGCGTGGGGAAGTAGGGTGTGCAGGTTGGGATGGGGCTTCATTGTTTGGGCAACAAGTTTGTTAATCTGCCAGAGTCCATTCATTGTCTTCACTAGCTGAGTTTAGACAGAGACCCCCCCCAAAAGCTAGTAGCCCTTGAAAGTCCTAGTAAAGGTCAGGGCTTGAAAGTCCTAGCAAAGGTCAGGGCTGTGCACCACCCAGTTAATCTAGGAACCACTCAGTTAATTTAGGTAATAATAGTTGAAGCATCCCTACCTTAGTTCCCTTAATTCCTTAGATACTTATATGTAGATCCTTGTTGATTATTGTTAATCAGATACTCCCGTTAATCTATTGATGAGCTAATCAGATACTCTGCCTACACTCGGAAATCTATTGATGAGTTAATCAGATACTTTGTCTATTCCTGGAAATTGTCTGCTGATCTGTGTGTCATTGAAACCTCCTTACCCTAAGGGCTACTCCAGATCAATAAAAGATTGGAGCGGCCTGAGCACGGAGGAAGTCCCTCTCCTTGAGTTGGACTTGCCCGCCTGGACCTCCGATATTGCAAAATTATCTCGTGTCTTTTTCTCTCATTTGTTGTGTGGCTCCTCTTTCAGGTACCGAACCCTACTCCACGCGGGTCGTGGAAGGAAACACTCGACATTAATCTTTCCATAATAGGCAATTCTTTTTTAAAATATATTTTTATTGATTTCAGAGAGGAAGGGACAGCGAGGGAGAGAGAGAGAGATAGATAGAGAGAGAGAGAGAGCTAGAAACATCAATGATGAGAATCATTGACTGGCTGCCTCCTGCACGCCCCACCCTGGGGATCAAGCCTGCCACCCGGGCATGTGCCTTGACTGGAATTGAACCCTTCAGTCCGCAGGCCGACGCTTTAGCCACTGAGCCAAACCAGTTAGGGCTACACAGGTTTTTTTGTGTGTGTGTGTGTGTTTTTAATGTCCATGTTGAGCCTCCCTGATGCCCCAGAGGTGGGGGATTATGGTGGTTCCTCTACTAAAGCTCTGCTTTATTCAAATAAGGGAAGTTCAGATGAAGTTTCTTTCTGCATCTGCTGTAGCTCATGGCAGTGAAAGGATTTTTTTAGTCCCTTCACCTGCCATTTCTCTGATGTCATTTCACAGCCTGACGTCCTGGGCACACGCGTGGGACACATGTTCCCAATGAAGGTGGTGAGAGCTTACACCCTCTAGGAAACTTTCCTGGACCGACTCCATCAGATGTGGATTTTGCCTCCTCCATGAGTCCTTTGGAAGAGGTTTCCTGAGAAGGGCCCGTTTCTCCTCCGTGTGTTTCCCTTCAATTGCCAGAAAAGATTTCTACCCTCACAGGAGAGTAATGATCCGTAGTCTCACTTCTTGGGACTAAATAATTGCTTTCACAGGAACAGCTACGTTTCAGTAGCATCAAATCAAGCATCTGGAAAGCTCTCAAGAATGAAGAGGGATGGATGGACATAGGCAACAGGAATCCTCAGCGGAGTCCTTACAGGTGTTTCTAAAATCGCTATGATTCAGGAACTTAAAGTTGATTTTTTGTTTCATCTTGCACCAATCCTGAATTAATCGAGGCAGAAACAGCTCTACTGGCTGCCAATCCTTGGAAGGTAGGAGTCTGGGTTGAGCCAGGTGTGGACGAAAACGGGGTCACAAACCTGACAAGCTCAGGGGAGGCCTGCATGGTGGCCTTACAAACTCAGAGACGGAAAGCAACCACAGGTGATCTGAATTAAAACTTCCTAATAAAAGGGAGTCATGGCGGGCAGTCATGTCAAGGCTGGTATCTTCTCTGACAAAGGTCAGTCTGTACCTTCACTGAGCCTGTCTATTGTCTTTCTGCATCTAGGATAACATACCTTGGGAATGTCAGGGTAATTTCCTTTTTCCAGACCCCTCTGGGCACAAACACTGCAGCAGAGCATAAACCACAAAACCCCTCATTGTTACTCGTGTTAATTGTTAACTGTTAATTATCTATACCCGCCAAGTAAAAGAAGTATGTGTCTATTCATTTTACTTGTTGTCTAATCCCCAAGATTCCCCCATTTTGCTTTCTCCTGCTTCCCTAATCTATCAACAATGGATTTCATGTAACCTCCTTTGATTCTGATGTATAAAATAAATGGTAAAACTGCCATTTTCCAGAACATTTTCTCAATCCGTTGAGAGTTTGCCTCCCAGTAATTGTCATCAATTTGGCTCAAATAAACTCATAACGATTCTGAAAGGTTCAAGTCCGTGCTGCTCGGGCAGGCTAAATAGCCACCTTAGAAGATAAAGAAAAATTGAATTTATTTAAAGAAAAGGGGATGGGGGTGGGAATATCCAAAGGGAAGAGCTACACAGCACTGAGCCAAAGGGTATTGGGTCCGTGATGGCAGCGAAAATGTACTCAGGACAGTAAAACAAGGAAGGCCATAGGACAGTGATGGCGAACCTTTTGAGCTCGGCGTGCCAGCATTTTGAAAAACCCTAACTTAACTCTGGTGCCGTGTCACATATAGAAATTGTTTGATATTTGCAACCATAGTAAAACAAAGACTTTTTTTGATATTTATTTTATATATTTAAATGCCATTTAACAAAGAAAAATCAACCAAAAAAATGAGTTTGCGTGTCACCTCTGACACGCGTGTCGTAGGTTCGCCATCACTGCCATAGGAGAAGCAACAGGAGAGCCGAGGCTGGGCTGCTTTAGTTCCCTGAAACGTCAGAGAGAAGCGGCCTTGGAGACAGGTTTAGGGGGTTAGCCTGGGACGAGCGGCTGCTACCCATTGCTCTCCTGGTTGCAAGTCCCCTGGGGTCCCTTAGGGGGAAGTGGGGGGGGGGGGAGGGCATAGCGCTGACATGCTTCTCTTGGGGAGAACCGGTGCTGGGTCCTTTGTCCTGAGCGTATTTATTGCTCTTTTATGGGTAGAAAGCTTAGGGGAGGTCTCAGGGGAGCGTTTCCATAGAATAGTCATCAGCTTTCCAGGTGTGCTTCTTCAGGTTCATGGTCTCCACGGATTGGTCGGTCCAGGGGGGAGGGGGGGTGTCATTAGTCAATGTAGCTGGTCTGGAGGCAGCCTCAGAGTCACTGGTCTGATTTTTCTGCTTTTCTGGGTCTGGAGTTAAAATACAACTGAGGCCTAGAGGTTGTACAACTGAGGACAGTAAAACAAGGAAGGCCATAGGACAGTGATGGCTAACCTTTTGAGCTTGGCATGCCAGCATTTTGGGAAATTGAGGGAGGGCAGCAAGTGAGGTGCCTCCCTGACGTCTTTAGGGAGGAAAACGTCAGGCGGTCTAAACTGCCTGACCAGGGATATGAAAGATCAGGGGTTCAAACCACATGACCAGTGATGTGCTAGGGGAGGAAAGGTTACCCTGGGCGAGGTTCTTGTTTTCCCAGTTTTGCCCCTTGCTAGGCATCATCCCTGCTGAGTTTCTGTACCTGGCCCACCGTCCTTGCTCTGCTCATGTCTGTCTAACAGATGCTCTCCAGGATGTTATGCTGACCCAGGTAGAAAAGGAAGGGAACCCCTATTATTTGAAACCAGTCAGGACTCTGATCCCCCCACCTGTCTGAGGACAGTCACCATGTTGCTGTGAGAAGCCAAGACCCCCCAACCTTGGGCGGCCCTCTCTTATTGACCAACTCAGTGGAGGAGCCACGATCTCCCATACGCTTGGGAGCTGTCAGGATTAGAAAAAGCTGAGCCGTTCATAGAGGTTTGTGATACCCATTTCACAGTTAAGAAGCTAAGCCTAAGAGAGGGCCTGAGATCTTGACTTGGGTCTCAATCCGATGCTCTCTGTACAGCGCCCCTGCCCCCCAGAGGGCCTAATTAGGAACCAGGCGCCCCTCGATCAGCGCAGCTGGAGCCGGGGAGCCAGACGGTTCGGATCTGCGCCTGCGCAGGGCGCCCCGACGGCGCGGTCGCGGTGGCCCCGCGGGGAGGGGGAGGGCGAGCCGCAGTCCAGCCCCGCGCGCAGGGAGCGTGGCTCAGCGTCCTCGCGTCTCCCGGGACAACCTCGGGCGCCGCGCCGGCCTCTCGGAGCGCAGGGGCGGTTAATTGGAATGAGGAGGGAGGAGGGGGGCATGGCAGCCCACCCCAGGGGCCAATCGAAGGCCTAGAAAGCCCTATATGCAAATATGAGGGCCGGGCGGACCCCAAAGTAGGAAGAGCGCGGGTTGGGGTTAGGGGTTGTCTGGCAGCCAATGGGAGCGTGTCCCAACCCTTCGAGGAGGGGGTCCTCAAGCGTGCTTGCGAGCGACCAGGGCCCGCACCGCCCGGGCGAGACGGGGGAGTAGGAATCGTGGGTAAGAGCTCCCCAAAGCCGGTGCTGGCCCTCGATCGCGGCCCCCCAGGGCCTCCCCACTGAAGACCCACACGCCCCCGATGTCCCCACGGGGCTCATTCCCCCAGGGCTATTCCTCGGCCCTCCCTGCTGGCGTTCCAAGGCCACAGCCTCTCACCCCGACGGCCCCTGCGCCCGTGGGCGCGGAGCCTCTCTCTTCTCAGTTGGTCTCAGTAACGCCCACTCTCTCCCAGCCCCGGACTCGAATTTACCGCTAAAATAACCTCATTCCCTTTTCTCATCCTCAAGGCCCCGATGCCAGGACCTTGCCCACAAACCGACCCTTCTTTTCCCAGCTCCACACACCCTTCTGTGCGCACATCTCTCCGGGGGCACCCTCACTTGCTGCCCTCCCTCGATTTCCCAAACCCCTGGCCCCCAGGGAGCTGTCCCTTCGATACCAGGGAATCCTGGGAATCGCACCACCCTCTCCACCCCCTCTTTCCCCATCGTGACACCCTCTCTTGATCACCTGTCTTCCTTTTTCTGGCCACGCCTTCCAGAAACACACCTGTGGTTTCCATGGCCAGCACAGCCCTCTGCAGCTGCTCCTGCCTCCTTCCCCCTCTTTCTCTCTCACTTCCATTTGTATTTCTCACCCTCCTAAAGGAAAGTTCTCCGTGAGGAAAGATCTCGTTGGGGATTTGAATCCTAGGAAAAATGTAACTTATCTGTGGGGATGTGCTAACATTGACTAAGCGCTGGTATGCGGCAGGCACTTTTAATACGTTCACCAGTCCTACCATCATATTTTTATTTTACAATCTAGCCCTTATTTTGGAACATGCACTGCTTTAAAAAATACTAACTTATCTTTAAAACAACCCATAGGTCATAGGATGAATATTATCTTCATTTTTCTTATGAAGAAACTGAGGTATAAGAGACTCAGTTTCTCATCCATAGTCACCCTCCCAGTAAGTGGCAGAGGTAGGTTGCATCCAGATCCGTCTGCCTTTGCTAGTAATCCACTGAGTACTGTGGAGAAAATGGCTGGGCATGAGCTTGCTCTGAAAACTGCACCGTCCACTCTTGTGAAATTCCTTAATTTTTAGCAGAATAAAAGATGGCATTTGAGTCAGCACGATTCTTATTGTTCCCAGTGAATGTGGCCGGTCATTCTCAGCACTTTTTAAAAATTAATTCATTTATTTAAAAATTATAGTTGACACACACTCTTATATTAGTTTCAGGTGTACAATATAGTGATTCGACATTTATATACCTTACAAAGTGATCACCATGATACGTCTAATGCCCATCTGCCACCACACAAAGTTATTATGATATTATTGATTATATTTCCTATGCTATACATTAGTCTCAGCACTTCTTCTTGGCAAAAATTCAAAGGGTGGCTAGAATGAAAAGCCAAAAGGCCATAAAAGGCATCTTATTTGATCCTGCCTCCATCAACGCTCAAAGCACTTTTCTAGATAGGAAATTTTTAATCCTCTTGGTGATCCTGTAATCACAGAGAAGATAGGGAATGAGAGAGGAGATAATTATAGTAGTCCCCCCCTTATCTGCGGGAGATATACTCCAAGATTCCCCAGTGGATGCCTGAAACCACAGATAGTACCAAACCCTATATGTACTGTTTTCCCCCCCTATACCTACATACCTGTGATAAAGTTTAATTTATAAATTAGGTGCAGTAAGAGATAAACAACAATTAAGAATAAAACAGAGTAATTATAACAATATACTATCATAAAAGTTATGTGAATGTGGTCTCTCAAAATATCTTATTGTACTGTACTCACCCTTCTTGTGATGATGTGAGATGATACAAAGCCTAGGTGATAAGGTGAAGTGAGGTGCGTGATGCAGGCATTGTGACGTAGCATTAGACTACTACTGGCCTTTTGACGACCCCTCAGAAAGAGGATCATTGAGCAATGCCAGTGTTGATGGGTGGGTGTCGGGAGCAGATGGTGTCGATGGTTGGGGAAATGTAATAGTGTTTTCAGATCTCAGTTGACTTTGGAAAGCAAAACCGTGAATGATGGGGGACCTATGTATTTGGCTTCGTAGGGTATACGGTGTCAAAGAGGCAAATCTGAGAGCAAGTCTGTAAGCAGACCTCTTACCTCCACATCTTCCCCTCACCCCAGTCCACGCCAGCCTTTTCCAAGAGCTAGCCACTGGAAGCCAAGGGAGAGATGCTTCTAGTAGAGGAATGAGGACCAAAAGATGCAGAGGGGAGGGAGGAAGGAAAACCTATTGTCTGGGGGAAGAGAAGGCAGTCACAGGCAGACACAGCAGGAGGGCTCTTCAGTGCCGCATATTTCTGCAGACTGAAAGAAAAGCCTGGGCTCTGAAGGTCAGGATGAAAAGATTTGGCTAAAACTTGAAACATGTTCCCCTATTGTTCTTTTTTTTTTAAAATATATATTATTGATTTTTAACAGAGAGGAAGGGAGAGAGATAGAGAGCTAGAAACATCGATCAGCTCCTCCTGCACATCTCCTACTGGGGATGTGCTCGCAACCCAGGTACATGCCCCTGACCGGAATCGAACCCGGGACCCTTCAGTCCACAGGCCCACGCTCTATCCACTGAGCCAAACCGGTTTCGGCCCCTATTGTTCTTTTTTAAAAAAACCATATATTTTTATAGAGGGAGAGAGAGAGAGAGAGAGAGAGAGAGAGAGAGAGAGAGAGAGAGAAACATCACCTCTGAGAATCACTGATTGGCTGCCTCCTGCATGCCCCCCACTGGGAACCGAGCCCGCAACGCTACCCCGGCATGTGCCCTGACAGGAATCGAACCCCGATCTCCTGGTTCATAGGTCGATGCTCAACCACCGAGCCACCCCAGCCGGGCTCTCCTATTGTTCTTTTTAAAAAATATGTATTTTATTAATTGTTTACAGAGAGGAAGGGAGAGGGATAGAGAGTTAGAATTGATGAGAGTAACCTCGATCAGCTGCCTCCTGCACACCCCGTACTGGGGATGTGCCTGCAACCAAGGTACATGCCCTTGACCGGAATCGAACCTGGGACCCTTCAGTCCGCAGGCTGATGCTCTATCCACTGAGCCAAACTGGTTAGGGCTCCCCTGTTGTTCTTAATCATATGATCCTTTCCTGCCATTTACAGGACACCGTATTAGTTCAGCCTTGCAAAGAAAGCACTAAACCTTATTCTACCCCTTTGCACCACCTCTAGGGGCAAGAAGAGTAGTCAACAAGTATAGTCCAGAAATAACCTGCAGTGTTTGCATGGAGCCATCCTAGAGCTCATTTCCTCCCCCTGGTGGCCAGGGAAGGTCATTTTCATGCAGTCTAACCCCGCTTTGGTTAGCAGCCTCTGGCTTGGAAGATCCCAAGCTCAAACCCCATTCTAAAATGGAAGAAAATATCAGATGTTGTTCACTGTCTTAACTATCCTATTTGGGAAGGTGAACTGAACGTGTCTTGGGTAATTAAGAAAAACAAAACTGAAGATTGTATTCCTGTGTTTGCTAGATTGGTAGGCCAACGTACTCTTCTCTTTTAAGCTCCCAAAGTAAAGGTGCGCACTGCCTGGTCACTTACCTGGCATAATGGAAAGGTAAACAGAGGGGCAGGAAGCCGGGGCTTCGCTCCTGGTTCCACTGACTTGCTCCCTGGCTTTGTGCAAGTCAAACCTCCTCTAAAAATCAAACAGGTTGACCTAGAGTCACTCTCCAAAGCCCCACCCAGCTGTAATATCCAGGAATTCACTAGAGCTTGGAAAATGTTCTAGTTATACCCCTACTAAGAGCCCCGATACGAGGTTGATATTGGTAAAAAGAAGGGAAAGAAACAGTGAAAATAATTACCTAGTGGAAACCATAGAGCTGTTCCCAGGTTATGGCAAAATTGGGAGACCCAGGCCCCTGTGGGAATTTGGAAGCAGTTGGCTTTAAGGAAAATGCTGTGGGACCAACTGATTCTCAAGGGACAAAAGTCACCAAGACTCCTTGTGGGAGCCAGGAGATCAGTTGCTTCACTTTATGATTGTACCGTTTATGGGTGATCAGCAGAAAGGGAAAGGCAATGGGTGGAGTGTGGAGGCAAAGCAGCCCATGGAGTCAGACAGACCTGACTTCTAATCCCAGCTCTGCCTCTTACCTTGCTCTCTCCTTGCCTTAGTCTTCTCATCTGTAATAGATTGAAAATAATATCTATGATAGGGCTTTATCAGAAGGCAGGAGAGACGGTGGGAACCCCCAGGTTAGCAGGGAGGAAGTAGTTGCTGAGACTGGGAAGGAAAATCTGGTAGAGCCTAGTAAAGCCTAGAGTAGACTGAGAGGGTTCTAGCTTCAGCCAGGGTCATATCTAATTCTTGTTCTGGAAATGAAGGCGTGACTGTGTTTGGTCCAGCCTTGGAGGAAGCAGCTTTTGTTCTAAGGCCTTGCTGCTTGGAGGTCAGGCACCTCCAGATGTCTGTGGGGCCAGGCATGTAGCCTAAATGACAGAAGTGACCTGGACATACTAACATGTTTTTTTCTCTCTTAATGCTACTGTAAGGAAAACAATAGCACAAGGGCAACCGTCACTTGGCTCCTGTATCAGAGAGACAATAGGGAATGTTAGGGACTGGGGCAGACACGGAAAATGTCTAAAGAGGAAGCCATTCCCCTGCTCTGGTTAATTGCTGGCATGAAGCAATGGGGACCTATTTTCTGAAAGAAATAGGGGAATCTGGGAGTTTTATGAAAAAAAAAAATCTACATTTTCTAGTACTGGTAACTACTATTTAGCAACTATAACAACCACCACACACTACTGTGGGCTGAGTAAATGTTTCTGCAGGCGAGATTCAGGATGTAAGCCCTAGTAGCAACCTTTGAGCAAGTTACTCTCTTGTGGGAGATTGTGGAGAGAAGCTGGCAGGGTCTAGCCCAGGGGTGGGCAAACTTTTTGACTCGAGGGCCACAATGGGTTCTTAAACTGGACCGGAGGGCCGGAACAAAAGCATGGATGGAGTGTTTGTGTGAACTAATATAAATTCAAAGTAAACATCATTACATCAAAGGGTACGGTCTTTTTTTTCAATAGTTTTATTCATTTCAAACGGGCCGGATCCCAGCCGTAGTTTGCCCACGGCTGGATGGAGCAGGAAGGCGAGACTCGGGGAAAAGAAAGCCAGGGGACCAAAGGCACCAGAAATAGCCACATATGACAGCAACCGTTGTTTGCCTTACACCTGTCTCAGGTGCCACCGAAGTGGCTCAGGGGAAGGAAGGTAGGCAAGAATGCTGTAGTGAACTAGTTCCTTTAAAAGTACATGGGCCTAGCCCTAGCCCTAGCTGGTTTGGCTCAGTGGGTAGAGCGTCGGCCTGCTGACTGAAGGCTCCTGGGTTCAATTCTGGGCAAGGGCACATGCCTGGGTTGCAGGCTCGATCCCCAGTAGGGGCCGTATCTCTCTTCTCTCTGAAAAAAAAAGTACATGGGCCAAGTTTCTTGCTATTTGTGCCTGAGGCTCTCTCTTGTGAGAGTAAACAATTTGACCTTTGGTGATGACGTTGTTGTTCTCTTTGAGGCAGACAAATATAAGCAGTCATAACTTGTTCTTCCTACTTGGACAAGGATATGAAAAAGAGCCAAGACAGCCCACAACTCGAGGCCAAATTCAGGGTCGGTTTTCTCTCCTCGAGTTAACATTAACCTTTAGGTAAACGGGGCCACTCCTCAAGGGCTTGGTAAACCGGAGCCGTTGTGGATGGAGGTCGAAGGGAGTGGAGCTGGCTGTTTACCTGGAAGGAAGGGAGCAGCCGAAGGTCAGGATTTCATGTACTTTAGCCTTCTTGAAGTTTGCCAAGAATGCGCCTGTTCGCTGGGAAAAATTGACTCTCAGGGCCCAGGTTTCATCGCTAAGTTGCACTGAGCACAACTCTTTCTTCCCCTGAGCAGGTGTCACCGTAAAGGGACCTGGGTGTAAGTGACAGCCCGCTTCAGCAAGGGAGAGAAACAAGTGCCCATTCTTGGCCAACTTCATAGTTCTGCCTCCCTTTTGGGGGTGGCTGTGAGCATTCAGTGAAATGGAATATCTGACAATTATTTGAAAAGTCCACATACAGGTTTGTTATTAAACTAGTGACCCGGTGCACAGATTCGTGCACATTGAAAGGAAATTAATTAGAAGGTGCTGGTGGGGTGGGATTGGGTGAGATGGGCTGGACATGCCCTGGAGCCAGCCTCTTGTGGTCCCTCCCCGGCGTCTGAGGAGTGAGCAGGGTCCCTCCAGCAGGTGGGGTCCCTTGGCCTGGCCTGCGGGGATTGGTCCAAAACTGGCCCTCTGACATTCCCCAAGGGGTCCCAGAGTGTGAGAGGCCACTCTGCAAAGTTGCCGAGGTACAGGGTGTGGAACACAAACCCAAGTGTGCAGTAAACGAGATTCAGGGCTGACAGTGCCCCAGCAACAACGTAGCCCACCGCTAAAGGTGGAATCGTGCGGCCTTGCGAGGAATTGGGCTCCCTCCTCTCTGGTTTCGGGGTATGTCACCCGAGAACTGCCACAGCCAAGTCACTGCAGCTTGGCAGCTCCTGCACTGAGCGTCTGCCCCCTTGGTGGTCAGTGTGCGTCATAGTGACTGGTTGATGGTTGGACACTTAGCATATTAGCCTTTTATATATATAGACAGAGGCCCGATGCATGAAATTGGTGCAAGGGGCTCGGCCCTCACAGTCCCAGCTTCATCCGGAAGGTCGTCCAGGAGGACAACTGGAAGGATGTCTGGAAGGTCTTTAGGCTGTCGGGTCTAATTAGCATATTATGCTTTTATTATTATAGATTATTTATAGGTTTAGAGCCCCTCCCCCCAATTTTGGTTTGGGAAAGGGACAGAGCGAGGTGGAAGGGTGTAGTCATGTTAAAAACATGGCCGTTAGGCATAAAATTGTCTTGAATTAGCAAGTCTGGGTACAGAGGAGAGGTGATTCCCAAGAGGTTGTGTGACTGGTGAGCCTGCTGTAATTGCATATTGCTGGTTGTAGTCCAAAGGGTTGGAATCCCTCTGGGAAACAACATGGTGATATAAAGAAATAAATACATAACATACATAAGCTACAGTATTTTCATATTCATTAACCTAGTACTTCTGGTCCTGGATATGTGTTGTAAGAAAATAATCCCAAAGAAGTAAAAGGCTTTCTGTACATGAAAGTGTACATTTTAGAGCTAGTTATAGAATAATAAAGTTGGAAGCAACTTACATTGTTAACAATAGGGCAATGGTTGGTTAAATTCAGACACATTCCTTTAACGGGGTATTATTACACAACCATTAAAAACTAGAAATATGTAAAGTTGGCTATAACCGGAAGGATATTGATATGATATAAAGTGGCCAAAAAGCAGATACAAAATTCTTTACGTGTTATGGTTACAATTATATAAGAATAATTACGCTTGAAATTAATACTAGCCCTGCTGGTGTGGCTCAGTGGTTGAGCCTTCGACCTTTGAACAGGAGGTCACTGGGTCGATTCCCAGTCAGGGCACATGCCGGGTTGTGGGCTCCATCCCCAGGAGGCAGCCCATCAGTGATTCTCATCATTGATGTTTCTATCTCTCTTCCTCTCTCTGAAATCAATACAAAAAAAATTAAAAAAATTTTAAGCATAAAAAAGAATATACAAAAGGGCCAATGTTGCCATGTTAGGGTAGAAGAGCTAAAGGTGACTTCTCACCCTACCCTCTCCTAAACTTCCTTTAATGTTATAGTATTTCAAAAATAGTAATAATAAATTCGAATAAAGATGTTATCACTATCTTTACAAGAAGTTGAAAAGTATGCGAGGGAAGAACAGGTAGTAGAATCAAGAGGACTACAGGCATTAAAAGAGAGGACTGGGTGGTAGGAGGTTGGCCAGGGTTTGGAGGTGAGGAGAAGCAGGAGAACACCAGAAATAGGCTGGATGGTCATAGAAGTCTTAGATGTGAACAGGATATAAGTCAGTTAATTAGGCCTGGGCAGTTCTGGGTTACACAGAGGCAAACTAAGCACCTTCTTTTTTTTTTTTATTGCTTAAATTATTACAAAGGGTATTACATATGTGTCCTCCCCCCCCCCCCCCCCGCCCTTGACAATCCCCTGGCCTCCCCTACCCCCCAGTGTCTTATGTCCATTGGTTATGCTTATATGCATGCATACAAGTCCTTCGGTTGATCTCTTGCCCCCCTCCCTCCTGCCCCCCAACCCTCCCCGGCCTTCCCGCTGCAGTTTGACAATCTGTTTGAGGCAGCTCTGCCTTTGTATCTATTATTGTTCAAAAGTTTATAATGGTCTCTATTATCCATGAATGAGTGAGATCATGTGGTATTTTTCCTTCATTGACTGGCTTATTTCACTTAGCATAATGCTCTCCAGTTCCATCCATGCCGTTGCAAATGGTAAGAGTTCCTTCTTTTTTACAGCAGCATAGTATTCCATTGTGTAGATGTACCACAGTTTTCTAATCCATTCATCTACTGATGGGCACTTAGGCTGTTTCCAGATCTAAGCACCTTCTTAAGGATTAGTGAAGCAGGGGTATTAAAAACCATTAAAAAAAAAAAGACTTGATATTTGAAATTCAAGCAGACATCAAAGAAGTCATCATGGGGGTGGAGGGATGAGAATTTTGCAGGCCTTCCTTACGAGTATTTTATGATGGGTCTTGTTTTCACTTGGAATGGGATGGTGGGGGAGACACGACAGCCTCTTTTGTGGTTGGGGTCTCCGAAGCTCTGCTTTTGTGCCCTGGGCTTGAGTCAGTCCTGCGCTCCATGAGCACCGGTTGCTTTTGCTGTCAGGACCACAGGTTGCCTGCAAGGGGTTTCGTGCAGTGCCCCAACGTTAACAGGCCTCCTCAGAGCACCTCATCTGCACCCCCGGGACTGACTCCCTCAGCTAGGAAGGCTTGCAGCGGTTCTCAACCCGTTTGTCGCGAACAATGAAAATACATCCTGCATATCAGATATTTACATGACAATTCATAACAGTAGCAACATTACAGTGATGAAGTCGCAACGAAAATAATTTTCTGGTTGGGGGTCACCACAACATGAGGAACTGTATTAAAGGGTCGCGGCATTAGGAAGGTTGAGAACCACTGGCTTAGGGCTTGGTTCTGAGGCTGTCTCCAGACACTCACTCACTTTAATAATAAGATTGTTTACCAGGTGGTGCCAGGCATAGCATCTCAGCCTGCTCCTGAACGTCCCAGGAGGGAGAAACCACAGCCAGGATTGGCCGCGGGAGTCCCTCAGGCCAGCGTCAGGGGCAAAAGATGGAATCAGCTCCCTCCCGGAGCCTGGCCCCAGCGGTAGAGGTGTGGTGGCCTTTGATACACGGCCACCTGTTGCTTGGTCCCAGAGCACTGGTGGACCACCGCCATGAACAAGAGAGGGGGTCCCCCTGCAGGTGGACCCAAGTAACTGCCGCCCTCTCTGCCTTCTTTCCAGGGGGGGCCTGTATTTCCCCAGAGTCTCCTCCCAGTCCAGGGAGATGCTCCAGCCTCAGCCTTTGGAAGGCAAGAAAGGGACCGAGTCAGAAGAGAGGGAGGACAGTTCCACGGCAGATCTGAAAGAAATCGTCACCTTGGTTTTGGTGGGAGAGAACATTGCGACACCAAAGGGGCTTCAGAATGCCCAGCAGCAAGGCAAGAAGAAGAGGAAGAAAAAGAGGTTAGGATTGAAAGATGGGGGATGGGGACCCACGCTGGTAAGAGCAGGAGGGGCCTGGGAGGAAGGGGGCCTTGGCTGCTCATGTCCGATGAGACTGTCAAAATCACACCACTTCCGGTTCAGATAAAAAGGAGCCACTCTAGATGATGTTTTCTAGAATGAGATGATGGTGCATGTCATCTAAAACCACACCTTGCCCGAGTCTTTGCTGTGTTTGTGTTCAGACTGCCTTTTGTGATTATTTTTTAAAATGGCGTGGGGCGGGCTGGCTTTCCCGCAGCCCTACCTGGGATGGGATGTCCCTGGGTGTGGCCTCTTGTTCCGGCCAGTGTGTCTGTCTCTGTCTTGCTGCTCTTCTTTTTCTCTTTTCCAGATGATTGGTGATCAATATGTGCAGCTGCCGATATGAGAGTGGTGAGCATCTGCATTCGAGGAATCCGCGATGGGGACCCACTGGGTTCCCCCACAGGGTTGGGAAGGGTCACGCTTATGTATTTTTGAGGAAGAAAAGGGGTGTCTCCCAATCCTGTTCTTTGCTTCTCTCAGCTCATTTAACTATTTGAGGAAGTTGGGGAGCTCATTCCAAGGAAATAAGGGTTTGACCGCAGGGCTGTGTCATTAGGGGATCTGATTGTAGAGACGGCAGCTGTTGCTACAATCAGTGGCTCTTTTTAAATTTTTAATTAAAAAAAAATATATTTCTTTTATTGATTTCAGAGAGGAAGGGAGAAGGAGAGAGAGAGAGAGAGAAAGAGAAACATCAATGATGAGAGAGAAACACCGATTGTCTGCCTCCTGCACGCCCACCCCGAGGATCAAGCCCGCAACCCGGGCATGTGCCCCTGACCGGAATTGAACCCAGGACCCCTCAGTCCGCAGGCCAACGCTCTATCCACCGAGCCAAACCAGCCAGGGCTCAGTGGCTCTTTTTATGAGCACAACTTCCAAACGGGCAGTCCCTGAGCTGGAGATGACCTGTAGGCCTACTTTGTTCTACAGAGCGGAGGTGTTGTCATGATTTTAATTTCAAATTTGGATGCTTTGGGCCGGCCCTGACTCTCCTGGTCCCTGCAGGCACTTCTTCCTCTCCAGGCCCTTGAAGGCATTTGCGTTGGTGTTGGCATCAGCTCCCAGTTACCAGTGCTAACAGGGACAGGGGGAGGAGGATGTGAGAGCGTGTGTGTGGATTTGAAATACATTGTGTAATGTTTTTCTGTTCATTGACTCTACTAATTAAGCTTGGCTCAGGCTGATGTTAAGGATTTAGGGCAGTGATGGCGAACCTTTTGAGCTCGGCGTGTCAGCATTTTGAAAAACCCTGACTTAACTCTGGTGCCGTGTCACATATAGACATTTTTTGATATTTGCAACCATAGGAAAACAAAGACTTATATTTTTGATATTTATTTCATACATTTAAATGCCATTTAACAAAGAAAAATCAACCAAAAAAATGAGTTTGCGTGTCACCTCTGACACGCGTGTCACAGGTTCGCCATCACTGATTTCGGTTTATATTCCCTGAACATTCAGTGCTTCGTGTTTAGGGGAAAGCCAGACGCCCACTTCCTGGCCAGGGGAAGCCAGGATGGTTAAAACATTCATCCCAGATAACCTTCTAGGGGATGATGGGGCACAGGCTGTATTTTTTAAATAGCTTTCAACTCTTTGTGTTCCTTTCTTGGCGATGATGTCTCTAGGGCAGGGCAAGATGGCTTCAGTCCTAGGCAGCCGCGATGTCTCACTTCCGTGCTTAGTCTGGGAGCACCTGGGAATGTCACTTCCCCACTTTATGCTCCTCCCTCACCTCCCGGGCTAATGGGCCTTTCTTTCTCCAACCCCCTGGCAGTGCGTAGGGCCGCCCAACAGTATGGCCTTCGAGAGGGAGGGGAAAACGACGACTGGACTCTCTACTGGACTGACTTCTCAGTGTCGCTGGAGCGGGTGATGGAGATGAAAAGTTACCAGGTATCTGGGTCAGAGCTGGTCCTCAGCATAAGTGGGGTCCTCACTGTCCCCCAAGGGTATCCCATGGGTACGCTCGTGTCCCCCATTGTTCACGAATTCCGGCTTCCATTGCAGAAAATCAATCACTTCCCAGGGATGAGTGAAATCTGCCGCAAGGACTTGCTGGCCAGGAATATGAGTCGCATGTCAAAGTTGTTCCCTAAAGATTTCCACTTTTTCCCTCGGACCTGGTGTCTTCCTGCTGAGTGAGTGCCGACCCGAGCTCCCTTCTCCACTCCCCACCCCAGTTCCATTTCCCACAGGGTCTCCCATCTCTCCTCCTGTTCAGGAAGAGAAGGGATATGGGGTGTGGCCAGGGTTCCCAGACTTTCCTCACTTGCTTAGTAGCAACTTAGAAGGAAATGTGTTTGCCATCAGGTCAACAGGCACCTCCGCATTTCATAGCCACCGAGGACCATTGAGTTAAGTGACTTCTCCACTGGTCACAGGCTCCTTTGAGTTAAAGTGCAAAACAAGAAATATAGGAAGACTGAGATTTATAGTCCATTAAGTTTCTTTCTCTCTTCTGAATATACTTTCTTTTCTATTTAAAAAAATATATTTTATTGATTTTTTACAGGAGGAAGGGAGAAGGATAGAGAGCTAGAAACATCGATGAGAGGGAAACATTGATCAGCTGTCTCCTGCACACCCCCTACTGGGGATGTGCCTGAAACCGAGGTACATGCCCTTGACTGGAATCGAACCTCGGACCCCTCAGTCTGCAGGCCCATGCTCCATCCACTGAGCCAAACCAGTTAGGGCTATACTTTCTTTCTTCTTTTTTTTTTTTTTTAATATTGATTTCAGAAAGGAAGGGAGAGGGAGAGAGATAGAAACATCAGTGATGAGAGAGACTCATTGATCGGCTGCCTCCTGCACACCCCACTCTGGGGATCAAGCCAGCAACCCAGGCATCTGCCCCAAACAGGAATTGAACTGTGACCTCCTGGTTCATAGGTCAATGCTCAACCACCGAGCCACGCTGGCCAGGCTGAATATACTTCCTTCAAAGTATGTTCAAAGATGGTATTTCCTCTCTCACACACTGGCTGGAGGGGAGATGTTACAGAGAAAAAGCTGAGCCCAGAGTGGGGCAAGAGGCCGATTGACCCAAGGCCACATCACTGGGCTTGAGCCAGATTCAGATCTCCAAATCTCCACTCTGCAAACCAGAAGATCAAACTCCTTGTTCACGGCTAACGTTATGGGGTGTGCAGTATATACAGTGGGGCCTTGACTTATGAGTGTCCCGACTAACGAGTTTTTCGAGATACGAGCCGTCTCTCGGCTGATTTTTTGCTTTGAGTTTTGAGCTAAAATTCGGGTTACGAGCCAGCTTCAGATACCCAACCGCTAGTTGGCACAGCGAACGTCACAGTGAATGCCACAACATCAGCCCAGCATGATGTGTCTCACTCATTCACTTTTTGATTTGACATACGAATAATTTGAGTTACGAGCTCCGTCACGGAACGAATTAAACTCGTAAGTCAAGGCCCCACTGTATCAGCACCCTGTCTGCGTTATGTCATGTACAAGATAGGGTGTCATCACCCTCATTGTGTAGATGATGGAACTGAGGCTTTCAGAGGTCAAGTCCTTGCAAAGGGTTACACTGGTAAGTGGTGTTGCCTGGGTTTAAATCCAGGCCCAAATTCCCTCCAAAGCCCACCTTCTCCCCACTGTGGGTGCTTTCCTGGCTCTCCTATTACCAGGCCTCGGGGCGTCTGTCTTTCAGTCCAAGGTGTTTTTCACATTAGATCATTTTGTTTGTTTGTTTTTTAAATATATTTTATTGATTTTTTACAGAGAGGAAAGGATAGGGATAGAGAGTTAGAAACATCGATGAGAGATAAACATCAATCAGCTGCCTCCTGCACATCCCCTACTGGGGATGTGCCCGCAACCAAGGTACATGCCCTTGACCGGAATCGAACCTGGGACCTTTCAGTCCGCAGGCTGACGCTCTATCCACTGAGCCAAACCAGTTAGGACTGTTTGTTTGTTTTTTAATGTACAGAGTTAGCCTTCCTTTTTACTGCTTCCCAGCTAAAAGTGTATCTCATTCACTCCCTGTCTGGTAGCTGGGGAGACTTGCAGAACTACAGCAGGTCAAGAAAAAATAAGACATACATTTGTAAGCCGGATTCGGGCTGCCAAGGGAGAGGTATATTCATCACCCGGACGGTGAAAGAAATCAAACCGGGGGAGGATATGATCTGTCAGCTCTATATTTCCAAGGTACTTCTTCATGGTGATTGTTTATTTATCTCCACAGCAACCTCGGGCTGTAGCTCCACTGGGCTGAATGAGGAATGAGGGAATGGAGGGCAGGGGTGAGGGTGACGCCGAGTCCTGCCTTCTGCCTTGGACTTTGTCAGCCCAAGCCTTCTGCCCTGATATGACATGTGCCCGGGCCAGAGCGTCCCTCAGCCTTGCACCCTGTCCGTTGGCCTGGCTCTACCAGGCTGGTCCCTTGCCTCTAACAGACGACAGCTGGGAGAGCACCTTTGGTCATTGAGGAGAGGAGAGTGGTCCTGGATCGATAGTGGTAACCAGCTTTACTCCATGACTGGAGGTCAGAGGTCCCAGCAGGATAGCCCACTGCAGGAAGGGAGCCCTGCGGAAGTGTACATGGAGGGGGAGGCACCGGCCAGCATTGCAGGCCAGCACCGCAGGGAGAACTCTTACAGAACTGCAGCCATAACATAGCCCTGGATAGTGACAGAATGTTCTTCATCACAGGCTGTTTTTATTTTTTTAATCCTCACCTGAGGATATGTTTCTATTGATTTTTAGAGAGAGAGGAAGAGACATTGAGAGAGAGAGAGAGAGAGAGAGAGAGAGAGAGAGAGAGAGAGGTGAGAAACAGCGATCATTTGCCTCCCACACACGCCCTGACTGGGGATCGAACCCACAACCTAGGTATGTGCCCTAACTGGGGATCGAACCTGCAACCTTTTGGTGTATGGGACGATGCTCAACCAACTGAGCCACCTGGCCAGGGCATCACAGCACTTTTTAATGCTATTTAAAAGTGTGGTTTAGTGACTTGTACAAGATCATGTGGCTAGTCACTGAGCCCAAACCCCCATTTCCCTGTCCCCAGCCCTGGCCAAGTCTGCACTCTGTAGCAAGAGGCAATGTTGGCGCTGACGCCAAGAAAACCAGACGGGGCGCTAATGACTTTCAAGTCGAATCTCTCCGATGCTGGTGTCACTTCTGTTCTCTCCTCCAGCCCTTTATCATCGATGGGTTCAAGTTTGACCTACGGATTTATGTGCTGATCACATCCTGTGACCCTCTCAGGATTTTTACGTATAAGGAAGGACTGGCCCGCTTCGCCACGACCTCTTACTCCCACCCTTGCACAGACAACCTGGTGAGCTCAGGGGACATGCTGCCTTACCTCCCTCCCTTAGTGTGATAAAAAAAAAAAAAAAAAAAAAAAAAATCCTAGTTAAATCCACTAACACTTTCACTAACATTGTGGATTTGGCTACCGTGGCTGAACACTTCACACTTGCCGGGCTGCATATGTTCTTTCCTTGAGCCCTCCCAGGAGCCCTCAGGAATAGGCAGTATCACCTCCCTTTTCCAGAGGGAAATGAAAACCCAGAGAGAAGGAGGCCTTGTCCAAGGTCACAGAACTAGGAAGAGACAGACTGGGACTCAAGGCCAGGTCTGCCTGACTGCAAAGCCAGAGCCACAGTTCCACACCCCGGGAGTGCCCTCAGGCAGGGCACCGCCCCATCTCAGGAGGAATTGGAGTTTCTCATACTCCAGGCTGTGGGATACCCCTTCTTTCTTCCTCTGTGCTGCCAGTTTTAGCCCTAAGACTCCCCCCGCTTTTAAAAAAAATATATTTGTATTGATTTCAGAGAGGAAGGGAGAGGGAGAGAGAAATACCAGCATCAATCATGAGAGAGAATCATTAATTGACTGCCTCCTCTCTCCCCCGCCCCCCTCCCCCCCCCCACTGAGGATTGAACCCGCAACCCAGGCATGTCCCCTGACCCAGAATCAAACCGGTGACCTCTTGGTTCCTGGGTTGACTCCCAACCCCTGAGCCACCCTGGGCTGGGCCCCCTTTCGTTAAGTCCCAGGGGCCTCAGGAGGAGGCAGGAGGCCCGCCCTTCCTCTCACTCCATAGACTGCGTCTCTCCCCTCAGGATGATATCTGCATGCACCTGACCAATTACTCCATCAATAAGCACAGTTCCAACTTCGTTCAAGACTCGCTCTCTGGCAGCAAGAGGTAAGCAAGCGGCCTCACGCCCCTTCTCTTCCCCTGCCAGTCTCAGCGTGGCGCCCCGGGATGCGACCCAGACCCTGTCAGTCCGCATCAGCGTTTCCATCCTGGGTCACGTGCTCTCAGAAAATATTTCCTGGCCTGGAAACCCAGAACAGACTCCTTAGTCTCTGCCCTCGGGCTGTTAATCATTAAAAGAAGGCCACGTCGTAAACCCTAGAAGGGTGGGAGGAGGAGAGATAAACAGGAACTGTTTCCCCAGCAGGGTACACACACACACACACACACACACACACACACACACACCCCAAAACACACTCTGGTTACCGTTGGCCCTTCTGACATTTCCAAGCCAACAGATATTTATTGATTCTGGTCTGCTGTGGGAAAGGCCGTGCCAGGCAGTGCTTCCTAAGCTGTGGTTGCCTGGTGTGTGGCTCCAACTGAGATTCTCAAATGGTGTGTCACGCGGCCCGATGTGGCCTGACCTGTGGCTAGCTGGCTTTCTGATTCTCCAGAAGAAGGGGAAACATGAGAGGAAGGCATGAGCATCTTCCCAAGCAGCTTTTATACGCCTGCTATCGTCTAGTCCTGTCTCATTGGAGTTTTAAGAGAAAGGGGGACTGAAGAATGTGAACATGACCCGACAAAGGAGAAAGAAAAGGAAGTGTTTATGGAGGTCTCCCGTGTGTTTGGGCCTGAGCGGGGTGCTTTGGGAGCATTTAAAAAATACTTTTGCCCTAACCGGTTTGGCTCAGCGGATAGAGTGTCGGCCTGCGGACTCAAGGGTCCCAGGTTCGATTCCGGTCAAGGGCATGTACCTTGGTTGTGGGCACATCCCCAGTGGGGGGTGTGCAGGAGGCAGCTGATTGATGTTTCTCTCTCATTGATGTTTCTGGCTTTCTGTCCCTCTCCCTTCCTCTCTGTGGAAAATCAATAAAAATGTATTTTAAAAAAAATACATTTTTGTTGGTTTCAGAGAGGAAGGGAGGGAGAAAGAGAGACAGAAACATCAGTGATGAGAAAGAATCATTGACTGGCTGCCTCCTGCAAGGCTCCCCACTGGGGATCGAGCCCGCAACCCAGGCATGTGCCCTGACCTGGAATCGAACCGTGACCTGGTTCATAGGTTGACGCTCAACCATTGAGCCACACTGGCCAGGCTGCATTGTTTCCCCCCATTACATTTTTACAACACCATGGCCGAGGCATTATACACTACCCTTTGTAGACGGGGAACTGTGAGCTAAGCGCCATCTCATTTTACAGATGAGCAAACCAAGTCTCTGAGAGGTTGTTGCCTCAGGTCACACCGTTTTGAATGCCACAGCAGGACAAGAAGGTCGGTCGGCAGGCAGAGGCCGAGGCACATGCTCCTTCTCCTGCACCAGGTTCAGAGGACTGATCAGCAGGCCACCTGTCTGGCCTCAGAGCATCAGAGAGGCTTGGTGCAGGGGCAGTCACAGTGTCCTCCGTGGCAGAGTCCCAACGAGCAAATGGGAAATCACTAGGGCCGTGGTCGGCAAACTGCGGCTCACGAGCCACATGCGGCTCTTTGGCCCCTTGAATATGGCTCTTCCTAAGCCTTAGGAGTACCCTGATTAAGTTAGTAACAATGTACCTACCTATATAGTTTAAGTTTAAAACATTTGGCTCTCAAAAGAAATTCCAATCGTTGTCCTGTTGATATTTGGCTGTTGACTGATGAGTTTGCCGACCGCTGTGCCAGGCGAGGCCTGCTTGGAGGGTTGCGTCGGGCTGGGTTGGGGCGATCTCCCTTTCTCAGCAGGCCTCTGGGGCAGAGACCGGGTCCTCTTCATCTCTCAGGGAGCCTGGCACATAGCTGGTGTGTTCCGTGGAACTGGCTAACCCCTGGGCATTAACATGACAATGTGCGTTCACTGTGATGTGCCTGCGTCATCCCGAAGAGGCTGTGTTGATTTGTAACGGAAGCTCCCTCTGACCTGCCCAGTGTGGAGCTGACTGGAGCAACCCCTCAGATGTTTCCTCAAAAACCTGTACACATCCTCTGACCTCTGTGACAGGGTGACCAGCCATCTCGGTTGGCCTGGGAGCGAGGGGTTTCCTGGGATGTGGGACTTCCCGGGGCAGTTGGTAACTCCATCTGTGGAAATGCCCTGGGGCTGCCTTTTCCAAGTGGGCAGTCCTGACACAAAATTTCTGTGTCTTTAGTGTCCCCAGAAGCCCCTTAGATGATTGAGGTAGAACTCAGGCAGTGTGTGTGTGTGTGTGTGTGTGTGTGTGTGTGTGTTTAAGTCTATCTATTGAGAGAGAGAGAGAGAGAGAGAGAGAGAAAAGAAAGAAAGAAGAAAGAAAGAAAGAAAGAAAGAAAGAAAGAAAGAAAGAAAGAAAGAAAGAAAGAAAGAAAGAAACATCAACCCATTTTTCTACCCATCCATGCATTCATTGGTTGACCCTTGTGTGTGCCCTGACGGGGGTTGGAATCCACAACCTCAGCATATTGGGACGATGCTCTAACCAACTGAGCTACCCACCAGGGTGGTAGTTGTGTTCTTAAAAGGCTCCCTAAGTGCTTCTAATGAACACCAAAGAAATAACCACCAAAACAAAAGCATGAGGTAGGGTACTGGTTTCTTATTTTTTTAAATTTATCCATTAAGCTTTCCACCCAGGATACTCAGTCCCTGTCCAAGCCCACGGGTGTGTTCTGGGTCACAGTGAAAGTGCCCACACAGGCAGGGCCTTACATGTCATTCTATCTGTGCCCACTCCAGGGCTGTGGCGGCTTGCGGAGTGTGGCCCTGTGGCTCCTGCATGACCCTCCTGAGCTGACAAAGTCCTGGTGCCCCCCTAGCTCTTGGGTGTCCATCCCTGTTGGCTCTGGCACCCTATTTTCTACGGACGTTTCTGGTTCTCGGCATGCCGTGGCCTTAGATGTCTGAGGTGGGCTGCCCAGCCTCATGGCCTGTGGTTCCCCTCCAGGAAGCTCTCCACCTTCAACACGTACATGGAGAGCCACGGCTACAACGTGGAGCAGATATGGAGAGATATCGAGGATGTCATCATCAAGACGATCATCTCCGCCTACCCCATCATCAAGCACAACTACCACACCTGCTTCCCCAACCACACACTCAACAGCGCCTGCTTCGAAATCCTGGGCTTCGACATTTTGTTGGACCGCAAACTCAAGCCCTGGTTGCTGGAGGTAGGAAGCTGGGGCGAGGGGTGAAAATTGGCCCCTGTGCTTGGGATCGGCCAGCTTCAGGCTCCTCTCTCCGCCCTCGCAACTCAGCTAGATCTGTTTAATCAACTTAACTGGCGCCAGTTCCTCCCCTGGTGCTTGCTGCCTGGGGCTCCTCCTTTAGCTGAGAAGTGGCCACCAGAGGGGGTTAGACGGCCAGGAATTGGAGAATTCCCTGTGCCTTTTGGAGGCCCCGGGGACTTGGAAACCGATCTCAGACACAGAGCGACAGCTCTACCTTCTGTAACAGGGTCCTTTCGCCTCCCAGAAAGGGGGTGCTCTTCATCCAAGCTGGGCTGATGATGTTGAAGATCAGGTGGGAGCTGCAGGCCTGGCTCTCAGGGGCCTGGACCGCTCCGTTCCAAGCACTAACAGAGAACGGCCTGGCGTCTGTGGGCACAGGCATGGGTGCAGAGCCACACAGTCATGTTCCTGCCTCCCCGAGACCCCAGGGTGATGGGAGGAGGAGGAGGAAGAGAAGCTTCCGGGTGGCGGTCTCCCTTCCAGATTGTACTTGTGCCCGAGCAGTCAGTGATCCAGTATGCACTGGGAGGAGGGGTGAGGGGTGTGGGTACAAGTCAGAGGTGCCAGCTCGTGCCAGCTGCCAATGACAAGAGTCAGCCTATGGGGTGGGAAACCCAGAATTACACATCAGATTCCCAAGGCCTTGCCTTTCCTCCACTCCCAGTCCTTGTTCCCAGGGGTGGGTGGGAAGGAGAAAATGGCTGTTTGGAGCTCTTACCTCAAGAGCAAGCCGGCAGAAACGGCTAGAACTCTTCCAATGTCACAGAGTGCCTCTGAATAATATGGACTTTCCTATGAGCAGGAACATGTCTTCTCCCTTCTCCCTTCTCCCTTCTCCCACCTCTCTCCCCTGCAAGCCCGGTTAGAATCTCGAATGCATCATTTCTTTCTACTCCCTACCTCCCTGCCTGGTCCTTTGGACCGCCCCTTCCATCTGCTCCAGGCACGTGAGAGGACACCACACACCAGATGGAGAGGAAACCAAAGACGGGCTACTCCCTGATGCCTCCCAAGAAGCAAGAACTAAAATAACAGCTCGTTAGTCCTAGCTGGATTGGCTCTGGATAGAGGGTCAGCCTGCGGACTGAAGGGTCCGGGTTCAATTCCTGACAAGGGCACATGCCCAGGTTGTGGGCTTGATCCCCAGTAGGGGGCATGCAGGAGGCAGCCGATCAATGATTCTCTCTCATCGTTGATGTTTCTATCTCTTTCTCCCTCTCTGTTCCTCTCTCTGAAATCAATTAAAAAAAATATATATATAGTAATAAAAGCATAATATGCTAATTAGACCGGACAGCCAAACGACCTTCCAGATGTCCTTCCAGACGAAGCTGGGGCTGTGAGGGCCGAGGCAAGCCGCCACGGCTGCGAGGGCCAAGCCCCTTGCATGAATTTCGTGCATCGGGCCTCTAGTATATATATATATATAAAATAAAAGCCAGTTACTCTAGAGGGGTTCTACCTCCTCCGTTCCTCACTGTGGCTCCAGTCCAGACCTTCTCCCTGCCCAGGGCCCCAAGGTGGGCATAGGTCGCTCCCTGGAGGTGGTGTTTAGGCCTCCCTCTCCGCTTTCGCTCTGGAGAGCCCCGCTTCCAGCTGCCATCTTGCCCTCACAGGTCAACCACTCTCCGAGCTTCTCCACCGACTCCTGCTTGGATAAGGAGGTGAAGGACAGCCTGCTGTATGACACCTTGGTCCTGATCAACCTGGGGAGCTGTGACAAAAAGAAAGTCTTAGAGGAGGAGAAGCAGCGGGGCCGGTTCCTGCAGCAATGCCGTTCCCGGGAGGCCAAGTATAGTAGCCCCTCCCCCCCCAGGGACCCCATTTTTCTGACTGGTCTGTCCTGATCCAAGTTATGATACAATAGCCTACTCGTTATATGGTCTTTTTAAAAAATATAGATTTTTATTGGTTTCAGAAAGGAAGGGAGAGGGAGAGATAGAAACATCAATGATGAGAGAGAATCATTGATCCGCGGCCTCCTGCACACCCCCCCACTGGGGATGAAGCCCGAAACCCAGGCGCATGCCCTTGACCGGGATCAAACCCGCAACCCGTCAGTCCACAGGCTGACGCTTTATCCACTGAGCCAAGCCGGCTAGGGCTCTTTATGGGGCCTCTATGTCACTTCTCTGGGCCTCTGTGTTCTTCCTGTGAAATGGAGCGAATGATACATACAGTTGTTGGGGGGAATGACACGTTGGTGTATAAAAGGCTTACTTACCATAATGCCTGGCATTATCGTTTGTGTTTGAGACTATTAAGAATTTTGCCTGGAGTTGGTGAGGAGGGGAGTCAGCGCTTACACATGATTATCCCACTTGGAAAATTAGTTTATATTTGTGGAATGTGGCAGTTTGAATATTTTTACTGTGACTATTCCTTTGTCTCTATTTTAAGAGATTTAAGTTATAGGTATAACTATACCTAATGGAGATAAGCTTATTAATATCAGATGAAGATTTAAGATTTAGGGATTACCAATACGAAAAGTAAAACCATTCCTTTTTTTTTTTTTTTTTTTTTTAACCAAAAGAAAGATTTGCCTGTCCTCCCCCGTGTTACTGTGTTGGCAGGAGCTCACGTGTCCCTGCTCCCTGCTGGGAAGCACTTGCCTTACAGAGGCCTCCTTCTGCAGGGTGAGTCTAGTGTCAGAAGACTCTGAGCCTGGGCAAGGAGATGCCTGTGTTGATTTTCAGACCCGCTGTGGCCCCTGCTCTCATGTGCGGAGCTAGCCTGGTCCTTCGAGATGAAACTTCTGGAACCAAGGCAACAGCATCTGTGTCTGGAAGGCATTTTCTTGTGTACTGTCTTCTCTGCAAGGAGGGTGGCAGGCAGTGGGGTGTAGGCAGTGGGAGCTAAGGAGACACAGACTCTGGAAGGGGAACTGACTTGTACTAGGTCACCTCGCTGGTAAGCGGCAGGTCTGGACCCAGAGCCCCAGGGGTGTGTGGCCTGGGGTTCCAGGATGCCCTCCACTGTGCTGGCTTTCTCTAAACCGCTGGAGGAGGAGGCAGCGTCAGCTAAGGCGCAGCTAGGGCCCTCTCCTGAGTCATTCTTCTTGTCACAACTTGGCCTGGATAGCTCAGTGGCTCTTGGTTTTCCTGCTGTAAAAGGGGCTTATCATTCCTCCCTCGATGACCGCCATCTCCCCAGGGGGCTGTGAGGAAGAGTGAGATCATCAGAGCTCATAAAAGCACATCCAAGAAGCCCTCAAATTTAGCAAAACACAAGCTGTCGTTCTCCAGAGAGTGACAGGGTAGGAGGGGCTGTGATTGGGAAGGTGGCCATAGTCTGAGAATCTGATGAACTGTCAGAGAAGACTGTTCTTTTCTGTGTTTAAAATATATATATATATATATATATATATATATATATATATATATATATATATATATATTTGTATTGATTTCATAGAGGAAGGGAGCACTAGAAACATCAATGATGAGAGAGAATCATTGATCAGCTACCTCCTGCACACCCCTACTGGGGATCGAGCCTGCAACCCAGGCATGTGCCCTTGACCGGAATCAAACCGGGGACCCTTCAGGCTACAAGCCTATGCTCTATCCACTGAGCCAAACCAGCTAGGGCCAGAGAAGACTGTTCTAAACAGCTTTTAGTGCATATGACGGGATGGCTAGAATCCTCTCAGGGAAACGTTTAGGAAATACCGATGGACCCCTGTTGTGTGCAAGGCCCCTGCCTGGCCCTAGATGATATCCAGCTTGGTCACATTTCTTTCAAGCATCGAGCCATTTCCCAACGCAGCCCTGTGTTCTGCTTGCCAACAGGATCAAGGAACTCAAGGGTTTCCAGGCCTTGCGTCAAGAGAAAACTGAGAAGTATGAGAAGGAAAACGGTGGAAGTTTCCACCTGATTTATCCCAATCTGAATTCGGAGAAGTATGAGAAGTTTTTCCAGGACAATAACTCCCTCTTCCAGAATACTGCCACCTCCAGGGCCCGGGAGCTGTATGCCCGGTAGGAAAGCACCTTCGAGGTGGACTTGACCTGCTGGGTAATTTGGCCTGGGTCTGTGAGGAGGGTTTGTGAACTTCAGTCTCCAACCTTGAACTTGACAGGGAAACATTTGCTTTAGTGTCACAAGGACCAGTGTTGTTAAGTAGCTATGTGGCTGTTTCTAGAAATTCACCCCTGAGACAGGCACCCCCCTACACACCCCTCTCCAGAATGACCAGCCCCCCTCAGAGCTGCCTCCTGGATTCCTGCAGGTATATAATCTGAGAGCTGGGAGGGACTCATCCCATCCAGTCTGGTCCCCGCCCACCATCTCATTTTATGGAAGGGGAGGACGGGGCAGAGAAGACATCATATAGAGTAATAACAGGAAAGAGACAACAGTCCGTCTCCTGATTCATGGGACTACGTTATTTCCATTACACTATTGGCCAGAGGCCCAGGATGTGAAGTGGTCCATTGTGGGAGCCCCTGACTTTGGCCTGTCCAGACCCTCTCTTCAGCACCTGTCATGTATGGGATCTGTCCTCCTGGGAGGTGGGGAGCGAGATAGGGTTGTGGTGGAGTGTGGTGGAGTCCCCTTCCTGCGTATTTCTCCTTGGATGCTATTCCCAAGCCTGGGAATGACGTGGTTTAAGGGATGCCTCTCCTCCACCTCCTCTTCTGTGACCTTCAATCACGTGTGCAGACTGGACATCCTGGGAGGGAATGGGGAGTTCCCTCCTCTTTGCCCAGTCCTGTCCACCCCATTCAAAGCCCATCCCTAACCTACTGACACTCACTGTTCCTCAATGGGCAGGCAACTGATCCAGGAGCTGAGACTGAAACAGGAGAAAAAATCCTTGCAAACAAAAGAGAAGAAGGTAGAGATGCAGGGAGAATCGGCAGGCGAGCACGCGAGAGCCAAGGGGGCGAAAAGCTGGCAACAGACACAACACCGAAAATACAAGGCCGCTGCCACCCAAGTCTCCAAACAAGTAAATCCGGATGGGAGGGGAGCACCCGTGCCCAGCACCCTTCCCTGGCTGCGGCCAATTTATACGAGGGTGGGGGGAGTCGGGGAGGGGAGGATGCCGAGGAAGCCACTGCTCAGAGCCCGGATGCACTGAAGGAATGGGCTGTACGGAGGGCTGGGCCACAGGAGGGGGACCCCGGAAGTCACAAGGAGCCCAGCGTCCTTCAGAGGACCCTTCCATCCAGGCAGAGAGGACGCTCACTGGTCTGTCCTTGCCTCCATCAGTAGGAGTTAGCAGCTGGGAGGGTGAGCACAATCTCCACGTAGGGAGCGGGCTCCAGGACTACATGTACTCATTGTTCCCAGCTCCAGTTGGGGTTGTAGCGCTCTCTTCCAGGAGGCCAGGGGCACCGCCTAGAAAGGGAAGAGGTTCTGGGAGGCAGGACCCTCAGAACATTACATGGGGTGACTGACCACAGCTGGGTCCTTCCAGCCTGCTCTCTGCTCAGAGTGTGGGCAGTCCCCCACTGTGGGCCACGGTTGTCCTGTGATCTGACTCTCTGGATCCCCCTGTCTCTGCCTAGCTCTCTCTATAGGCTCAGTGGAGAGATTCAGTTGACTTTACAGTCCATCTCCTTCTTCTCAATGACTCACCCACAGAGACAGGATTAGAGCACGTGCTTGTTTGTTTTCATAACTTTACTGGGGCCATAGACCCTCTGAGTATCTGATAAAAGCTATGGAATCTCTTACTATGACGTATACAAAGATAGTTTTTTAAAATATATATATTTTATTGATATTTTACAGAGAAGAAGGGAGAGGGATAGAGAGAGAAACATCGATGAGAGATCAGCTGCCTCCTGCACACCCCCTACTGGGGCTGTGCCCGCAACCAAGGTACATGCCCTTGACCGAAATAGAACCTGGGACCCCTTCAGTCCGCAGGCTGACGCTCTATCCACTGAGCCAAACCGGTTAGGGCTACAAAGATAGTTTTAAGTGGTTCAAAGACCCCGTGAAACCATCCATGAGCTCTCTAGGAGTCCCTGAACTCGAGGTGAAGAGCCCCAGATTAGAGAGACGTTTGATACCGATTGCTTTCCTTCTCCCCCTCATCTCCTTTGCACCTACTCTTGGGTGCAGATGAATCTGGACGTGGACAGAGCTGGGTTCCCATGAGCTGTGTGTTTCGTTTCCTCCTTTCCAATCCCTCCAGTCGCTGACACTAGTGCCCTCCGCGCCTGATGTGCTCTTGGATGTCAGAGATGAAAAGAAAAATGAGACAGAGATCAGCCTCAACCAGGAGGCCCCCAAGAAGGAAGACGGCCCTGCTTCCCCCGAGCCTTCCTCTGCGAGACATTACTGCTCGCTCCCCGACCTGAGGAACTCAAGCCTTTTCAGCTGCTCTGGGCTGGACCTCAGTAAACCCATCTCCAGACTCAAGAAAGCCAAGTGTGCCTCTGTAGTGAACATCCTCCCCAGCCCCGTGGTAAGTGGAGCGGCCTCCCCCCAGGGGGCGGAGCTCGGGAGATGGTGGTGGGACTCTTGCTTTCTTGTCCCTTCTCTGCCCCTGACTTCCTATGGGTCCTTCGAGTAAGCCTCCTTCCCTCCCTGGGCCTTGATTTCCCCACTGTGATGCCCAAGGCGTGGAATGGCACAGCTGGTAGGAAGAGAGGCCTCTACTTTTAGGGCTGTTAGAAAGGCTGGCCCATGCATCCCCTCTTTTTAGGCAGGGCACCTCCTCGGGCTACTGTAACAAATGACCACACACTTGGTGGCTTAAAACACACATTTATTCTCTCAAGTTCTGAAGGCTAGAAGTCTGAGAACAAGGGCCAAGTGGCAGGAAGTCACAGAGAGAATAAGTATTAGGGGCTCACTTCACCCTCTGGGGACCACAGCTCCTTTGCTTGGAGGTGAAGTTTCCCTTCTCGGGACTTTAGATTCCTTAGGCCCTGCTGTTGATTGTGCTGCTATCACCGCATAAATTCATCACATCATCACCTCAGGATTTCATGGATGTGGGGAGTGGAGAAAAGAAAAGGAGGTCTTTGAGCCAAAACTCTAGGGCTATTTATTTGTTTATTTTTGTCTGATGTCATTTCTCTTTAGCCTGAAAAACTCCCTTTAGTGTTTTTTGTAATGCTCCCCTCTCGGCTGGTGATGAACTTTCTAGTTTTGTTTACTTGAAAAAAAGCCTTTATTTAGCTTTCACTTTGAAGGATATTTTTGTTAGACCTAGAATTCTGGGTTAACATTATTTTTCTTGCAACACTTTAAAAATGTTGTTCCACTGTCTTCTATTTTCTTTCTTTTTTAGAGATTTTTAATTGAGAGAGAGGGTAAGGGAGAGAGAGAGAGAGAGAAACATCAATGTGAGAATGGAACACTGATGGTTGCCATGGGGGATCGAACCTGCAACCGGGCATGTGCCCTGACCGGAATTGAACCGGCAACCTCTCGGCGGATGGGCCGATGCCCAACCAATTAAGTCACACTGGCCAGGGCTCTTTCTTTCTTAAAAATTCATAACATTGTCCCCTGTATGCAATGTGTCACTTTTTAATGGATGCTCTTTATCTCTGAATTTAACCAATTTGATTATGATGTGTCTGGGTGTAATTTTATTTGTATTTATCCTATTTAGGATACTTGAACTTAATGGTTTTGTAAATTGAGGACTTTCACCATATTTGAGAAGTTTATAGCTGTTATTTCTTCACATATTTTTTCTGCCTTATTCTGTTCCTTTCTATTTTACTTTCTGTCTCTGTGACTGCTCTAGGTGCCTCATATAAGTAGAACTATACAATATTTGTACTTACATGTCTGGTTTATTTCACTTAGCATAATGTTTTCAAAGTTCATTCATGTTGTATTATGTATCGGAATTTTCTTCTTTTTTAAGACTGAATAGTATTCCATTATATGCATCTACCGCACTTGATTTATTCATTCATCTTTTGGTGGACATTTGGCTACTTTTGGCTACTGTGAATAATGTTGCTGGGATCATTGGTGTACATAGTTTTTTAAAAGGAACTAATAACTTATTTTGAGTGTATACCTAGGCACAGAATTGCTGGTCACAGGGTATTTGTAATCTTATTTTACCAAGTATTTCTAGATGATTCACCAGAATGACTGTCTGCATTCTCATCAGCAGTGCATGAGAGTCCCTGTACCTCTGCATCCCACCAACAGCTTTCTAATTTTTGCTAATCTAAAACTGTAGAATAGCTATTTCTCTGATTACTAATCTCTAGTGTTTAAAATCTCTGTCACATTCAAAGACCTCCAGAGGAAGCTCTGTGGACATCCCTACCATATTCTGCCCTAGTGTTTAACCCAGTGGTCGGCAAACTCATTAGTCAACAGAGCCAAATATCAACAGTACAACGACTGAAATTTCTTTTGAGAGCCAAATTTTTTTAAACTGAAACTATATAGGTAGGTATATTGTTATTAACTTAATTAGGGTACTCCTAAGCTGGCCTTTGCTAAAAACGTCCTCAGTCTGATTGAGGTACGTTCGCCGCGATCGACCTTTCCAACTCTCCCATCCACACTCGTCTTGTACACTTGTTTCGTCTATCTCCTTTCGCTCATCCTCTCTATATGTCCAAACCATCTCAACATACCATTCTCAATCCTCGACACTACATCTTCCTTCACTCCACAACGTTCCCTAACATGAACTTAATAAACTTTACTTAAAAGTTTTAAGTCTTAGTTAAAAGACTTATAGGTGCGTTGAATAAAACTTGATATCATACTTAATAACAATATTATATTGATAAAATTAAGTTCCTTACAATTTACTTTACAATATCCATAAAATTAAATCATGACAATGGCTGACAAACACTAATGTGAACAATGGCCTTGCATCTCCTTGGAAAGCTTGGGTAAGTCAGGTTTGTATTTTGTTGTTTTTAATTTTAGGCACGATTTCAGGTTCTCATCAATAAGACGACTTCTCAATTTACTCTTTTTTTTTTTTAAATATATTTTATTGATTTTTTACAGAGAGGAAGGGAGAGAGATAGAGAGTTAGAAACATCGATCAGCTGCCTCCTGCACATCTCCCACTGGGGATGTGCCCGCAACCCAGGTACATGCCCTTGACCGGAATCGAACCTGGGACCTTTCAGTCCGCAGGCCGACGCTCTATCCACTGAGCCAAACCGGTTTTGGCTCAATTTACTCTTGATAAGGTTCATGCTTGAAAATGATTGTTTGCATAAATATGTAGACCCGAGTAAGGAAAGAACAGAAAACGCTAGTTTTTTTCACTTGATTATATGAGTCAGGAATACTATTCCCCCCACTTCTTCTAACGCCACTTTTTAAAAATAGACTTGCCCAGACTGAAAACCGACTTCTGCCATGGACCACGAAGTTTCCATCGCACTGTACGTGTGCGCCCGCACGTGGTATTTTGTGGAAGAGCCACACTCAAGGGGCCAAAGAGCCGCATGTGGCTCATGGAGCCGCAGTTTGCCAACCACTGGTTTAACCAATTCCTGGTCAGAGGAAACTATTCTAACCCAATCTTTCATCCTGCTGATGAAATCAGTTCTTAATCTGTTTAAATCAAGAATGGCATAGCAAGGAGCCCTTTGCTTTCCACAATCTCATTTTGGATTGTTTTCTCTTCCAGCTCTTATCGTCATTAGAGACCTCAGAAACCTGCACCCAGTTCTCAGACTCCCCTGAGTCCCCGCTGCTGAGCACGACAAACAGCCCAGAATGCAGTAGCCCAGAGATGGACAGAGTGGTCTCCCTGAAATGCAAACAGCAGACCTCCCAGTACCTCTTCCAGGAGAAAATATCAAAAATTTCTCTGCCGGCAAAATCCCAGCGCTACTCGTTGAACCCACGTTGGACTTGGCTAAAGAATAACGCGAGGAAACAGCATCTGATGTCAGAGCTGTTCACCAAGGTTCACCTGAGGGAGAAGCTCTCCTTGTTCCCAGCTTCCTGCAACCCAAAGCTGGCGTTACAGAACCAGTCACGTGAGTGCCAGCCTGTTCAGGGATTTACCCAGAGCACATGGAGGAACCAACAGAACCAGTCCTAATCTTTGGGGAGCATCCAGCCTGAAGGGGGATACATTCCCTGTCCTGAGGGTGACCGCAGTCTGATGGTGGAGACATAGTCTGTGTCCTTAGGGAGTCTCCAGTCTTACTGGGAAGATAAGAAAGATAAAAACAGAATGCTATGTCTACGTACCCTCTTCAACATTCCCCGGTTCTCATTCAGTTGAGGCCCACACAGCTAAATCTGTACCAGATGGAGGCATTAAGTATGAAAAAACAGGGAAGAGAAACTATTTTGAGAAAAGAACAATGGATGATTCTGATTCAGGATCAGATTTAGGCCAGGTGACCCTAGAGCAGTAGTTCTCAACCTTCCTTTAATACAGTTCCTCATGTTGTGGTGACCCCCAACCATAAAATTATTTTCGTTGCTACTTCATCACTGTAATGTTGCTACTGTTATGAATCGTCATGTAAATATCTGATATGCAGGATGTATTTTCATTGTTACAAATTGAACATAATTAAAACGTAGTGATGAATCACAAAAACAATATGTAATGATATATGTGTTTTTCCAATGGTCTTAGGCGACCCCTGTGAAAGGGTCGTTTGACCCCCAAAGGGGGTTGGCGACCCACAGGTTGAGAACCGCTGCCCTAGAGGGAGGTGGCCTTTTCTAAGAATTTGTGCTGAGTCCAGCAGCCTAAATTGATAATGCCAATTTATCAGTTTCTTTGCCTTTCCAGAAAACTTCTCCCTGCCCCAGAAATGTTATTTGCGCAGCCAAAGCTCTCATGAGAAGAGGCCGCTGGATATGCCTTCGCTCCTCTTCTTGAAGAAAACTCACCGCCGTGATGTTTCTCTGAGGGATCTGCTGGTGGTGGCCACTTCAGCCCGACTGGATCCGAGGCCTGACAGAAGACGTCTGGGTGCTATGAGGGACCCGTGTATACAGGATCGGGAAGCATGCAATCACTGCCTGATCTCTGGTCAAAAAGAATGTGAGAGGAAATAGGTAGGCCCACCCATATTCCCTTAATGTGCCTGGTGCATTGGCAAGCACCATAAGTATATATTTCTGGAATGAATGTTGGGTAAGTAGGTGGGTGGATGGATTGATAAAGCCATACAGGTAAGTAGACAATTAAGACTAACCTTAGTTAACGTGTGACCCTCTTGCAATTTATGCTTCTGCTACGACTACTCTGTGCCCCCTGCTTTAGTGCACTTGGCCTTGTCTTCACTTATGGCTAACATTGAGACCATCATTAAAGCCGGTCCCAGAAGTAGAACCATGCCAACTGTGAGGGGTTGATTTCCACATCTTTCATGCTGTGCCAACCTGGCCTCGGCCCAGGCCGCTTGCCCCAAAGCTGGCCCTGTAATGGCGTGTACCGAGGGGACTGAGCAGCTGGACAGTGGATACTGAGATGTGGAAACAAAGATCTTTAAGCTTTGATTCTACTGTGTGAAAGGACCAAAGGGAGCAGGGAGCCCTCTGTCAGAACTTCAGTTGGTATATAGAAACTTCAGAGAGCGCTACAGCATAGCGTTGCATGGTAGAGGGGTTCGTGCTGCTGGGCACACTTGCCTTGGGTGTACCAAAAGCCTTGCGTGCATTATCTCAATCCTCAGAGAAACTCTATGTGGTTAATACCATGTCATTCTTTTTTTTCAAATGAGGAAACCAAAGTTTAGAGAGGTTAAGTGGCTTGCCCAAGAACACACAGATAATGAGCTCCTAAGCGTGTGCTCTTAATCACTACCACTTATTATCTCTGGCCAGCCATCTTGGCTGCTCTCTTAAATAATCTATAGCAAATGTTTGGGGCTATAGGGAGGTAGGAAGATGAATGTAAAATGAATGTAGGTAAAATGAATTTCTGGTGACCATGGATGTGAATCACCTGAGCATCTCCTGAAACACTAGATAAGAATGGTGATGATGTGTTAATTGGCCTGAATATTCTAGAGGCCATTTAACCATTTTACAGGAAAATCTAAAAAAAAAAATCTTCTTTTTTCCCCCCCCAGAATCAGACTGGATCTCTGCTATTCCCCACCCCACCCCCATTTTACTTTTTACTCCCAGGAAATGATTTGTCTCTTCTTACAGTGTCTACAGTGCCCATGGGATCAACCAAGAGTTTTATTTTCTCAACTAGATATCCTAGTCCACTAAGTCCCTCCCTCTCACTAGCACCACTGAGGCCAACAGCCTTGCTTTTTGTGCCCTCCCAGTTAGCTGACAGTGTAGGACCGTGACTTCTGGGAGTTATTGATGTTGTCCCGGGACACGCCCCAGTTGCTCCGACCAGTGTCATTCCCATGGGCCCCTCACATGGCACCATCATCCAGAACACTCCCCCAGACAGAGCAGTGCGAGGGAGGAGTGTTTCAGAGGAGGGTTCACAACTTTCAAGAATCCAAAGTCCTCAGTCCACCAACAGGCCTGTGTCAGTTGGTCTTCAACTCCAAAGAGCAAAGGCAGAGAGAGGGCTAGACATGATGGAGAACTCAGAGCCCCGAGTGAGAGAATTGGGGCAGTTATCACCACCAGGTACAGATCATACTTCCTCCCATCCCAGCCACCTCAGTACCCAGACATCTTCCTGCTACTGCCCTTACCAGCCCCACTCAATCTCGCCAGTGAAGACAGAGGTGAGGTGAGAGTGCCCAGCCTGCTGATGTTTCTTCCATCAACCTACAGAAATGCTGCATTTCCCCCTCATGTGTACATTAATAAAATAAATCACCATGCTCAATGCCAGGACAAGGAGCCCGATTCGTTAATATTGTGAAGGGCCTAAAATGTTATCCTGGGAAGTGTTCCCCTTAACTCCGTGGGCTGTGGAAAACCACTGCAGGTTTTTGAACGGGAGAGAGATTTCATGGGGGGTGAGAACAATGGACCTGGTAGCAGATGGTAGGATGGATGAGTGGCAAGGAGAGAGCCTGAGGTAGGAGAGTGGTTTGGAGGCTCAGACAGTGGCCTGCGTTTGAAGCCCTGGCAGCCCCTATCGGAATGGCTGACGGTGGGAAAGAAAAGAGGGCAGGCCAGTCAGCCATCGTAGAGCTGGGCATGGCATTGAACAAATGGAGGGAACAAGGAAAAGGGAACAAAAGGCGGCTTCCAGAGAACTGAGTCCCTGAAAGAAAATAGGGACATTGGGAGAAGCAGCTTTGGGGGATGGAGATCAGAGAGCCTGTGTCATAAAGCAAGTGGATGAGTTCCTGTCCTGAGATGGGTTGAAAAGAGCAGCACTAACGGAAAAGTTTCTCGATGCAAAAATAACTTTCCTAAAATTATTAGGAAAATGGCCACGTTGGTCTGGGCAGGTTTTTCCAGGCTCAGAACTATCTGGGCAGCTAAAAAGATTGTGTGCTCTCACCTTGCTGTGGATCAAATTGGTCAGTGAGGGGGTGGGGTGGGGTGGGGAAGTGGGGTGGGGTTGACCTGGATCTAGAACGCTCCCTCGGAGGGTTCTGATGCATAGCCATGTTTGGGAGCCGCTTACCTGGCTTCACCCACACTGGACAGCCCCTGGCCCACCTCAAACAGGCAGGACACCTCTCCTGAGCCTTCGAAGGCTGATCTCAGAGTCCAGTTTTGCTTCCACCCTGGCAGGGAGTGTAAGTCAGGCAGATTGGCAGCTGTTCTAAGCGTCCTCCCCCGCCCATCCTGGGTGATTACATGAACCGAATAGAATCATGCACAACCCTCGTCTTTACAGCTGGCATGTCCCTTGGCTTAATGACAGGGCAGTGTGGCGTTTCAAACTTAAGGAATCTAAAGCAGCAATAAAATGGGTTTTGCAAATTGTTAGGGAGGCAACGAAGACCTTGGAACTGCAATTTCCTAAGTATTGCTTTCGATGATTTTGCATTCTCCAACCATGACTCTCACCAGCAGCCTGGGGAAGCCAAGCCGGCAGTGTGTCCTGTGGAGGGCACGTCACGCCTCCTGAGGGCACACTGTGTGCTGGGGAGCTGGCTGGAGGCTCCAGGAGCCGCCTAGGGGTGGGAGGGGTTGTGATTGTTCTGAGCACGTGTTCTTCCCATCAGACACCTGCTAATCATGCTTCCGTCAAGACACTCCCACCACCATGGGCTCTGACTGGTCTGGGGTGACCTTCAGCAAGGGCCCCCCCTTTCTCTTTACTCAGGAACATCTACTGTCTGCAGAAAGCATGAGGAAAGAAGTGTGGGAAACAAAACGAGTCCTTTAAAAATCTAGGGCTGGTGCCTGGTCTCTCTGGCCCTTTGATTTCTTTTCCTGCTATTTCCTGGTTCTTTTTAACCCTCGGAAATGTACTTTTTGGGCAACCATTGTGAAAGGAAAAACTGTGGTGCCCCTCCACCACCCTGCTCCCTCAAGCCTCGTAGTCTTAGGAAAGATAGCACAAAGGGACCCCATCCGTCTGAGGAAGAGATGGAGGCCGCAGGAAGCTACAGCAGGCAGTGCTGGGACAGATCCCTCTTGCTGTGAGCAGCATTGGTAGGCATGCTCACCAGGAGCGGAATGCCAGCTGCCTCAGCAGTTATGCCAGGTGGGAGAGCAAACACCGAAATCCTGTTGGCAAAGCCAGCAGGGCCAGCACACTGTGGCCAAAGCAAATAGAGGCCGAGGTAGGCCAGCTGCAATGAACTCTCACTTCTACTCGGATCTGGCAAAGGGTGAGACTGAGCTGGCTGAGCCCACGTACCAGTGCATCGAGTAGCCGTGGGTGTGCTCATACCGATCCCTGGGCTGCTGCTCTTGCTCTCCTTGGCATGGTCCCCTTTCATTTTGGCACTTTGGCCAAGGAAAGTCTGATCATGATAAAGCATTTCACCTGTATTGCTTTGGTTATTCTTCCCAGCAGTCTGTGAGATCAGTACAGTATTATCCCCATCTTACAGATGAGAAAATTGAGGCGAGGGGAGGGACATCAGAGCCAGGACTTAGTGTGGGGGCCTCTGACTCAGGGTCTGCTGCATTTCCCATTCCCTCCACCCTCCCACCTCTCCACCTGAACGCTCCCATTTCAGTTCCCACACTCCCTTCACGGGCAGAGCTCCCACCTTCTAAACCAGTGAAGCAGAGGCTCAAAGGAGGGTAGGGATTGTTTTTGCTTTTAGACCAGCTCATTGACACCCCTGATTCTTTATCTGCCACACCCACCAACACAGAGGCCCAGTAAAATGAATACAATTACAAATATTTTCAATTTTTTGCATATTTCAACAAGTCACAACCCCTTCCCCTTTATTTAAACATGAAAGATCTGAATCAAGATCTCTGCTTTTTTCCCCCTTCATGTTAGTTACAATGTGGTTGTATTTAAACATAGACTCAATAGACCCTCTTATGACCTGCTGCCTTTTGGTGTCTCTAGGCCCCAATGTATACCCACAAAAATGCGTCTCTCTGGCCACCTGGTTGGGAACTGTATGCTTCACCGAGAGATAGACAGTGGCTACATTCATGTCTCATGGATGGCTGGGCTCCCACTGAGAGAAGAAAGCCAGCTGTTGGGTTGGCTGTACCCTTCCGAGTCCCCCTTCCTCTACAGCTTTCCTGATGATCTGAAATTTCCTGATTATTCCCCAACATCCCTGTTTGAGGGGAGAGGACAGGAGAAGAAACAGGAACCCTTCATGGGACTCAGTGGATCTGATAACCAGTCCTTTTCCCACCCAGCATTCTGATGTGCTCTCCCCGGGACCCTGCGGGGAAAGGCCATTGGTCAGAGGGGCCTGGGGAAGTGGAAGTGAGGGCCGCTGGGAGCATGTCCTCCCTGTCTCCCTCGGCAGAGAGGCCCAAGAGCGCAGGGCGGGGCTGGGGTCCCCGAGGGGAGAGGGGCCCGTGCGGGGCTGGTTTGGAGGTTCTGCTGGAGAAGGTGCGCACGGGGAGGGCGTGTCAGGGCGGCGTTGCTGTCCAAGCGACCGGAGGAGCAGGGCTGACTCCAGGCGCGGAGCCGAGAACAAGCGACCAGGTCCACCGTACTCTGCGCGCTTCCCCGACGCCGCACC